ACTCACATTTGGTAGCACTTTTATATCACGCACATTGCAATGTTAGTGCGACGGACATTGAGAGCCATTGGAATACCTCTTGTCCTAAGCCCAGCGAGGAAAAAACTGTTAAATTAATAAACTTATAATGCTTGCGTTCTGGAGCCCAGCCCTTCGCCGTTTTAAGACTCCGACATGTATTGGTTTTGTAAATATATCTAAATAATACTCTAATATTGTTATGTTGTTATGTTTAGAAGTAAAATTAAACATCTGCACCCCAATTCTCTTTCTATTGCGATAGAATTGCTGAACTTCAACCTAAAAATGATAAAGTTAAATCGATATATCGGACATTGTTGTCAAAAAGTTGTTACATTTTGTAAGGTGACTATGGAATTTATTAAATAAGTGTCAAAATTTGACGATATTTGACATAATAATGATAAAAAATATGTCTATAAAAATGAAAATATAAAATTATACCCACAGTGGTATTTTAAAATAAATGTTCTAGCGACCAGGTATGCAGCCCACCATACACGCCGGTGTAAGGCTGGTTGCAGTGACGGACAAGCGTCAAGATGGTGGAAGTGTGTATCGAATGTAGACAATCAGAAAAAGGAAAAAAAGTAATTTCACGGTAACAAGTGGCTGCCCAACGTACTGCCGGTGAAACCTTTTTCGTGTTTTTCTCAGACTTTTTGGAGCAATCTGGTTGATTCTCTGCGTCTCCTTTTCGGCTTAGTTTGCCGCTAATCACCGACATTTTAAATGTTTAATTTTTAAATGTTACAACAACTGCTTGCAGGAGTAATAATAAACGTTCCGCGTAACCTCGATCCAGTGCCTGCACTTAGACCAGAAGGAAACTTTGTGGGCTAACGCAACTATCGATATTAACGCAGGAGAATCATCGCAAGTGGAAGGAACATTTGCCCTCTAACCGATTCGCGATAAACAGTGCTCGGAACGACGCAACTGGATTTAGTGCTGCACAGTTGTGTTTCGGTCGGGAATTGCGCATACCTGGCGAAGTGTACCGAGACTTTCGTGGCGTTATCGAGAACGAACACTTTGACCATCAGATCGGTTCATATCTTCGAGTGATTGCAAACAATTTGTCTCGTGCTCGTGAAAATTGCGAACGTCGCCAAGATGCCTCCAAGGCACTCCAGGACCGACATCGTCGTGAAGGCGAGAACTATCAGCCTGGAGAAAAGGTCCTAATAGATGTTCATGCCTTAAG